TCAAACAAGGAAAACCCATTGAACAGGCACTACCAGCATTGATGTACACAGATGATATAGTGCTAATGGCCGACAACAAGGAAGATTTGCAGAGATTGGTGGACATCTGCGGTAATGAGGGAGATAGGTTAGATTTTAGATTCAGTAAGGAAAAATCAGCAGTCATGATTTTTAATGACAATGAAGGTAGTGAGCTTAGAATGCAGGAGGTCACACTAGAGATAACAGATAAGTACAAATATCTGGGCGTATGGACAAGCAATGGGGCCGAGTACCTAAGGGAACACGAAATATATTGACGACTAAAGGTAACAGGAATGCAGCGGTAATGAAAAACAGGGCACTGTGAAATTACAATAAGTACGATTTTTTGAGAGGAATATCGAAAAGGATCATGGTTCCTGGTCTGACGTTCGGCAATGCGGTCTTGTGCATGAGATCAGAAGTTCAAGCAAGATTAGAAATTAAGCAACATGGAATAGGTAGGCTTGCCTTAGGAGCTCACAAGCATACACCAAATCAGGGAGTACAAGCTTATATGGTATGGACATCATTTGAGGGCAGGGAAGCTAGCAGCAAGATAAAATTTGAGAAGCGATTGAGAGAAATGGGGGAGGAGCGTTGGGCTAGGAAGGTATTCAGCTACATGTACATGAAGAATGTCAATACAAAGTGGAAGAAGGGAACCAGAAAATTGACTGGTAAATACTTAGAAAACAGCAGGTGGCCAAACCAAAAAGAATTATCGGTTAAGAATAAGGTGAAGGAAGCTGAGACCGATATGTGGAGAATCGGCATGATTAAGAAGTCCGCACTAGAGATCTATCGAACTTTTAAGCAGGAAATTAACAAGGAAAGAATCTCTGATAATACTAGGGGTAGTTCTCTACTGTTTGAGGCCAGGACGGGAGTACTGGGAACCAAGACATATCGGGCCAAATACGAAGGGGTAGACACGGTATGCAGTGCGTGTGGAGAGAAAAAAAACTGCCGTACACTTGATTATGTTCTGTAAACGACTTCACCCTATAGTTCAGGATGATGAAGCAGAGTTTTTCAAAGCACTGGGGTTTAGGGACAGGGAGGGCAGAATAGACTTTAAGCGGGTAGAATTAACTAGAAGGAGGTTATCCGATTGGTGGCTAAAGCCAAAGCATGAGTGAAAATTAAACCCTTCACTGCAAAGTACGAATACTCAACCTTACTGTATAAAGGAAAAAAAATAAATCTAGTTTTTGGTTCATTAAGTATTACGGCTTGGTGGCGCTAGCCACCGCCCGATCTAAAGGATACAGCCATATCCATCCATCTATCAGTGACGTGATTTTATGCGCTGGTTTGCCTCCGCTGCATGCTCGAGGTACTCTAACGCAGCGGCTCCATAATACCTTTCACCAATTTTCTTGTGCAGAACATCAAATGAATGTTTTGTTCACTCTCTCCACATGCAAGACTATCGTCTTTCAACGACATTTGCAGATTAACAGGCAGAGACGGGGCCAATTTTTTTTCATTAAATGTGAGTAGTGCATCGTTCTGCTGAGGCCTTTCCTGCTCCTCCTTAGCTTCCAGACCACCGAGGCGCGCAAGTTCTCGTTCATGATCATGGGCCAGCTCGTTGAGGTTTGGGAAGTCTTCGAGAACGTTCTTCCCCATGGGAGCGGCAAGCCAAGTAATAACATAATAACCTGGATGGACAAGCCCTCTTTTCTAGAATAAAGACCGGCTCTCGAGTGACGTTGCCCGATTGGTAAGCTGTAATTGCATCTCTTGAGTCTGTGTAAATGTAGGAACGCTCTGGGTCGGACAAGGCCAGCACAACCGCGATTCGCTGTGCTATACCCAGGGTGGCCGCCTTTACTGAAGCAGAGGAGTAAAGCACCTCCCTCCTGTCTCTAACCGACAACGCGAACATTCTATGTTGCCGTACTGCACTGCGTCGACAAAGACGGCGGAGTCAATGTCATCCCTAATTCTATTCAGGATGGTTTGTGCACGGGTTTTGTGCCTACCCTCGTCATGTTGTGGATGTACGTTTTTGGGGAAAGACCCCACCATGTAGGCCGCTCTTGTTTCCCGACTCAGTGTTGTTCGCCGTTCCTCTGTAAGCCTAGAAGATATTACGAGCTCGTCAAGGATTCTCCTGCCTGCCGAGGTCGACGATAGCCTAACCACCTGGGCAGTGACCTGCGCCTCTATGATCTTGTCGATGTTATTAAGCATACCAAGTTCATCTGGCTTCTCAGTGCTCATACAGGTCGGCAAGCCAAGTGCCTTCTTTATGCTCTTATGCATGAGCGTATTTAACTTCCTCTTTTCTGTTTTGGTCCATACTAGAGCAGACGCCACATAGTTAACATGACTCATGAGAAATGCATGGTACATTCTCGGAAGGTTCTCCTCACCTAAACCCTTATTTCAGTTGGACACCCTAGCGATTAACCTCAGCATGTTCTTCGTTTTGGCTGCAACGTGGCTAATTGTTCTGGCATTACAGCCCCTCGCATCTATGAGCAGGCCTAGTATCTAGACTGAGTCAACTATAGGAATTTTTGCCCACTCGTGTATAATGCCACAGGTAGCTGGTTGAGGGGTGTTAGAGCCCTAACCCCTTGTCTAGCCGGCCTGTAAAGTAACAGCTCTGATTTACTGGAAGACAGCATGAAACTCGTGTCTGCGAGATAGGTTTCTGTCACGTCCAAGGCCGCCTGTAAAGCTTGCTCCATTTCTGCTAGGGAACCCCCTGGGCACCAAATCTTAATGTCATCTGCGTATAGTGCGTGACCTATGCCCCGGAGGCCACCCAGTCTGTCTGAAAGACCCTTCATCACTACATTGAAGAGCAGTGGTGAAATGACTGATTCCTGGGGGGTACCCCGAGGCCCCAACCTGTACTCGCTCGACCGAATCTGCTCCACCTGAATACAGGCAGTTCTGTTCACAAGGAATGACCTAACGAAGGCCTGCAATTTGACTCCAAAGCCTATTCCTGCCGTGGCCTGCAGTATGTATCGATGGCACACTGTGTCAAATGCCTTAGTGAGATCGAGAGCTAGAATACCTCGCACGTCCCGAGTGCCACTATCAAATATTCGCTTCCTCAGCATTACCATAACATCCTTGCATAGAGATATTGTTTTGATATTAAGGTGTGAAGACTATTTTGTCGAGCCAATGCGACGGTGGCGAGTTGCCTTCGCTTCCACAAGCGACGCGCACTTGTGGTTTCGCGCACAAGAGTGCGGCAGCGGATATTGTGGTCGGTACGCTTACAGAACCGTAACAGCGCTAAACCACTAAGCCACGCGTACATGATTTAGATTGATTGAGATGTTTATTGTTGGCAGGTTTGTCGCGATAACCTGCCGCCGCACTCGTCGGTAGCCGTCATTGCTCCTGCGAATTTCCATGCAGACATCACCGCAGTCGCACCGAAGTCTTAGTAATCACTGCATCATCTACTGAGGCTTTTATGGCAAATGCGTAGAATCGCAAGTTCTTCGCAGTAACATTAAAAATAAATAGTCATGAATATTAAGATTCAAATTAACTCGAATACAAATATTACAAATGCAATATTCGACCAGTATTCGAAACTTTTGAATATTCGCACACTCCTAAATATTAAGTGCTGTCATTCATGCCTTGTCTGCAGTCTCCCTGAATGACCTGCGATAAGTATGGTTTCAGCACAATGGAGCACCACCACATTTTTCTACCAGTGCAATGAACTGGTTGGACAGATGTTTTCCACAACACAGGACTGGCCGCACAGGAGCAATGTTTTGGCCACCAACATTACCTGACCTTTCTCCGCTCGACTTTTTCCTTTGAGGCTACATTAAAGATCGAGTTTACGTAACAGAGCCCAGAGATGTTATTGACATGAAGGACAGAATAACATCTGCCTGTGCGAGTATTCCTGTAGAAGTAGTGTGCCGAGTCATCAAGTCGACGCAAGAGCGGTTCGTGCTTTGCGTTGCTGCCAAAGGCAGGCATTTTGAACACTTTTTGGGCATTGACGTCTTGAGAGGCGGAGAGTTTAGATGAGATTTGTGCATGAACGAAATAAGCTTATGTAGCAGCAGAAAATATGCGTTAGCAAGGATAAAACTGTTTCAGTTAATATTCGTGGAGTTGTTGCTCTTGACTTCAATAAAAGTAACAGTACTCGGACATCAGGAGTCACACTATTCACGAAGCCCGGACAACGACCACGCATGCTTCTCTAGTCGTTATTGCGTACGTGCACTGGCATCCAGATTCTCCGCTTGCACCATTATCTCGGCATGGTATCTGCCACTATCATTAGAGGCTCTGCAGTCGCGTGTTATGACACTGGTTGGAAGGGTTCTTCGATTTTAAAGACGATAGTCTTTCTTGGGAACCTTTGACACAAAAATTTTGGTCTGTCTGTCAGTACATTTGTTTGTTTGTCCACCCTTAACGGTACCGGGTACTTTAAACGACCTCATCAGCAGCGCCTACCAATGTTGCTCAAGATTCAGCGTTCATACTTGTGCGATTGTCAATTAAAAAGCAATTGCGCATATCTGTGGCACCATAACAACACGTATATATTCTGCATGTGCGTCTTTTACTAGAAAAGGCATACATAAGTAATTATAAGGACCGTAGCGTTTATCACGCTGCGCTGACCATGCAACACTTGCACGAAAAGGCGAGTGTTTCCAACGCTTTCCTAAGACGACACAGTGGTGGCACCTACCCGTCACCTTGCATTCTACACCTTATCACCTTTGAGACGGGTGCGCACACCCATCTCCGAGCCGCGCGCTTTGTTTTCCAAAAAAAACTGCCAGATGGCACTCATGTCTCACGTGTGACGTGATTTGATGCGCTCGTTCGCCTCCGCTGCACGTTCGAGGCATTCTAACGCAGCGCCTCCAGAACACCATTCATCGATTTTCTTTTGCAGAACATCGAATAAATGCTTTGTTTCCTCTCTTTACACGCAAGACTATCATCTTTCGACGACATTTGCAGATTCACATGCAGATATGGGGCCAATTTTTTTATTTTGACGGCCGAGAGGGCAAGGCAAAGTGTTATGTATGCCTACCCTTCCACCCTCTTCACATACTAAACAGGGCACACAACAGATGCGTCACTTTAGGGCAGAGGTTTGCACTGACCTTCACTTTCTTGCAAGCGTAGTCATGCGAAATACAATTAAACTTTAAAGCCGGACACCTCGGAGCACAGGCGTGCTAGAAAAAAATCTTCCACCTGAAACTGTGTAGAAACACCACTGCCTACATTTTTTCAATATAAATATGCCAACTTACCACAGCCAGTAAAAAATTAATAATTAAATTTTAGTTGATTGGGCTACTGACAGCAATAATTATCATCCAATTTTCTGTCCACCTGGCCGCTCAACTTATTCATGGAAGTGTTTCTCAGATTCCTTCGAGCGCCTAACTTTAAAAAAAAAATCGTAAAGCTTAACTTTGAACACCCGGTACAATGCTCCCAGTCCAATTAGCATACAAATCGTATCATACCAAACAATTTACACACAATGATTTTTGCAGCAATGACTCAAATAATACTCTCATTTGCATTCGATCCAGTTCCGAGATTCACAATTCCCTGACCCATAGAAAGTACTAATGCAGAGGGTGTGTACTTTAACATTGAAGTAATTTCGTGGAATATTTTTCATGCACGAATAGATGTTTTTAGCTCAGAGGTAAAACGTAAAGCTGCTACATAAACAAAAAAAGTACTTTTTGCTAATAAGTGATTGAAGATTCTGTAGTTCAACTAAGCAGTGCACTAAAAGTGCAATGGGTACCATCATCATCATTTCATGTTATCAGCGTAAAACAGCAGGGCTTTTGATGAGCATTTTTGACGTGAGCCTGACCGTAATTGGCAAAAGAAATTGCAGCAAAGAAATACGTACAGTAATGCAAAGCATTCAGAAAAGCGGCGATGGTTTGAAAGGGTGGGGTAGGATACCTGTGCTACAAAACAGTAGAACATTGACTTTGCATGAATTCAAACCCACTTAAGCCTCGGCAAAAATATCCTCATGGATGTTTAAACAAAAAAAACCAAGAACATACACAGACAAGCATCAGTTTTTGACTGCTCCCCACAACCAGTGAACAATATAGCCGGCAATTTACAAAGGAACTCATACATGCATTTCGACACTCTCATACTGCAACTGATTTCTATAAATCCACTGACAACATCTCTTTCTAGTATGAACAGAATCACTACAAAAACATTAACAGCAATAAAAAAAATTCCTCACACTCCTACCCACACCACACCAGCTTCAACATACAGAAACAATTATCCTACATTTAATCAAGCTAACACTACATTATGCAACCAGTGCAGAGAAAAATACTTCCAGAATGTTCTGCAGTGAAATAGGGATGCTACATCATGAGGCACAAGCTTCCTTTTTTTTTCTGTTTCCAACTATTAAAGCAGAAATGCCATCATTAAATGCATGTTTTTTGAAGTTAGTGAGTACAACTACTTAATATCGAAAACATTTTACTCCTGAACTAATTGCAAGAGCTTTTGGATAGTCAAGGCCCTGCCAAGTGGCACCAGGACAAGTGCCACGTACCTGCTGCACTGGTGGCATTATCTGCCTTTCAAAACTGAGGCAATTACTCTTGATAAATCGTACAACCTTGCTGTCTACCTTGACGACTTCATGTGCAGATGAAAAAACTAGGCCCCGCCAAGTGGCACCAGGACAAGTGCCACATGCTTGCAGCACTGGTGGCACTATCTGCCTTTCAAAACTGAGGCAATTACTCTTGATAAATTGTACAACCTTGCTGTCTACTTTGACCACTTTATGTGCAGATGAAAAAAGTAGGCTCACGTCCAGCGTGGCGGTGTTAATTATGACTCGAATTGGGTGGAGCTAAGTGCATCTATACTATACACTACAGAACAGACTTAGATACATAATGGCTGCTGTTTTACATAATTAAGTGTGCTATTGCGCTTTCCTCAAACCATGGAATTTAGGTGCCAGCTACCATAAGTAGGCACGGAACATAATCAGGTGCACACAGTGTAGCCAATGCAAACAACCCTGATGTTTCTGCCTGGTGACCAAATGCTGACAACCGCATGATGGCACTCCATGGCTGACCAGTGTTGTTTCAAAGAGAAAGAGAGGGTTGGGGAGGTACAGTACATTGGCTACCTCCGGTTGGGCCTTGGAGCCTTGGCACTAGGCACTCCTGCATTGATGCCAAACCCATTGTTGTGACTGGGCAGAGGCATGCGCATGGAGCCATAAGGCATTCCTTGACGGCCTCCTCCTCGCGGGGCAAAGCCTAGCCCACCAGGGTGGCCATTGCCTGTAGAGAAAAAGCATGTGTGGTTTAACAGACTTGCCAAACAGCAATCATGAATGCAAAAGTATATTGTGAATATGATTGGCAATAGTCATAAAACTAACATCAGAAGGAAGTGAGAACAAGAGTAAAATGCTGAACAAGCTTTTACCGATTACCGACTTTCTTAAAGTTACCGATTTCTTTTTAAATTTATAGCTGTGATGGATTTGCCTTCAGCGACATGCATTATGCATGTTTGGCCACCATAAGTCAAATCGACGCGGTGAATCATTTCCCCCAATTTTTGGCACCAAAAGAAAAAAAAACATTGCAAAACACAAGAGGGGGTCCCAAACGCAAACATCGGCTTTACGGTCTCATAATGGCTTGGAGTAGCCAAACACACGAGGCTAGGGTTTCCCACTATGGTGAGTCTCAAAGGGGGGGGGCCCAAACGCTCCTGAAATTTTGAGTCATCAAAACTAACTAGCAAAAATATCGATTTCCGTCAAAACAACTCGCATATGTCTTCACTCGTGAACGAACAATCGGCACAGCTGGCTGCCGTGAAAGCGCTAGTCAAGGATTTGCTACGTTGTTGGATTCTTTGGATAGGAACACCAAAACTCTTATAGGCTTCTTTATTGCCCCCTATCTACCGCTGCAGCAGCCCCGTGCCCTCGGAGCTCGAAGATCGCTATCGCATTGCCGCGACTGTGGTTTTGCGCGCAGTGGTTGTGACAAACGGAATATGAGAGGGTGTTTATCATTTCTTGTGGATTTATTCAAAAACACGGAGCCCTACTTGTAACACACGAGATCGAGCCCCTAGCATGGTAGCAGTTTTGCATGTGTGACCGTACTCTTTATATGTTCATGTGTTAAAAAAATAATAAATACTATAAAAGAAATATGTTACATGCTATATCAGCTATATTTATAACATGCTCATTATATACTATATCTGGTAATATTTCAGTAAAATGATAGATCAAAAATTTGATTTTCTTGAATATATGACAGCATACTTACGACAATTCAATCTGATCTTTTACACTTCTGGTTCATTCAAACAAATTTCTTATTTGTTACATCGGACTACTGTTTTTAGTGCACTTTTAAAGGCTGCTCGATTCAAGTTGCACCACTTTGTCAATTCTTCTAATTCATAATCTTTGCTTTTTTGTACCGAAAATATTCACTGCCTCTATTATATCTAGATGCACCTTCCCATCTATTTTTAGAATAGCCAGAAATAAAGCCAATTACCTGCTTGAACTTGTCAAAGTGGTCAAACCCGTGAGCAGAAAATAAGAATAGGCAACCTTCATGTTCCATTTCAGTGCCTTTTTAATGGGTGCCAGCTCCTAGCAATATGTGTATTTTTGCTTCACCTGAATAGGCTTTGAAGTGAACAAAGACTGTTCTGTACAAGATATGTGCTATAGTGTAACATACCCAGAAGAAAAGCTTGCTCTTTCAATCATTTAAGCTCATCCGACAATTGGGTTGTATGGCCTTTGCACCGTCACATTGCCAACAGAGATTGCAGGGGCCACACAATGAGAAGCACGTGTTTGAGGTCTCCTCTGCCAAATGCTGCAATGATCCCAGCTCGTCACAAAAAAAAAGTCAGCTCTAATTGACCGATTCAATTTTACATTTATTTGGCCCTTATCTTTACTAAACTTACACTCGAACACCATATCTATGCAACACCACTCATACTCGTGACTCCCTCATTTCTATAGTAGCTTTATTATCGTCCTGGTTTTCAGACAGTGCAGAAAACCTACTTCTGTTTGGCAAGAAGCAAACCAAAAGTTGCTCAGCAACAGACATAGCGTTGCTAGGTACTAACACCATGAAAAGACTGGGTATGAACGCAATAATCTGCCAACTCTGCTTTTTCTGAAACGTCCTGAATTTGTGCTTCCATTTGACGATTCAAATGAAATTCTGAGTTACTTAGTCTACCAAGAGCTAAAACCCTAGTAGAGTTCTCATTCACTATGGTGTCACAGATTCTAAAGCATTTTTTTATATTTGAGTTTTTGCAGGGCAGTGAATATTCTCAAAACTTCCTAAAAGTGTACTTTTTGGCTCCTACAGAAATGAAACAAGTAATTGCCAACGTGGTCCCACATGACTTGTAGGTCTAATGGCATGTAAAAGAGGAATGTCAAATATACAGTTTGAATTATCTTTCTCATTAAGATTACTGGTAGCGTGAACCAATGTTTATGTACGTGTGTGATTCCATGGCGGTCTTTAAATCGCCGCAACCATCCATTGTCTGCCTGTCTGGACTAAAGTTATCATGGCTGCGAACGAACGCCCGACTTTTGGCCTGCCCAAGCAGGAATGACCCACAGAGAGGGTCGTACTTTATGCGAGCATCTACAAACCATTTGTAAAGCGCATTTCAACATCACCGCAAGTGGCAGCACGGATCCACTTTCGCTAATCGCTGTCAGCATCGTCGTTCAAAACAGCATCGATTTTGCTGGCATTCTTCATGATGGTCGCCAAAGTGGACTGGGCTATACCATACTTCCGCGCAATGTCGGCCTTCTTGATTTTTTGGTGAACTTCATCAAAAACAGCGTGTTTTACATTGAGAGAGAGCACCTTTCGTTTGACCGTGGATGAGGTCGACGTTCCAGGTATCGCTGGACTCTACTTTGTTGGTGCACAAGGCAGGCCAAGCTGTTATCATGGGAAAGTCCAAGTACGCTGCGATAAAACCGCTTTCACCAGTGAACAGAGCTGAACAAGCGTACGAGTGAGTCTGCTGTTCAAACTGTACTGCTTTGCTTGCGTACGCGAAACATGCCAACCAGGCTAACAAGCATAACAGGCTTAGGCAGGCATCGCTGGTGGCCCTATGCCAATGAAAAAAGCAATTTAGAAGTGTATTTACCGTATTTACTCGATTCTACCGCGCCCTCGATTGTAACGCGCACCCGATTTCCACAGCGAAAAAAAAAAAACGTAAGACATCGATTGCAACGCGCACCATTTTTCTCCTGGCCTGCACGATCACACCACTCGAAAAACGACTCCTTTTGGGAGCATCTTCCATTTAAATATGAGGTACGCCGAAGCTTGTGCTCATCTGACGTGTAACAGAGCATTGCCGTGACTGTAGTTTTACCGAGGACCGATGTCAGCACGCGAACTTGCTTCACCCCCTTCTTCTCGACGGTTGTGGTGCCAGGCATGTCGAAGTAAAGAGGCGTCTGATCGGCATTCCCGATTTGCCCAAGCAGGTAGCCGTTGTTGCGCCGCAAGTTTAGGACGAACCTCTGAAAACTGTGAAGCTTTTTATCGTACTCCTCCGCAAAACTTTTCGCATATGCATGTTCCCTTTCGGAGAAAAAAGCCTTTTCTCTTCATAAAGTTAGTTAGCCAGCACCTGCTCGCTTTAAACTGGCTCCGCATTAGACCTTTTTCTAAGACTAATTGCATAGCCCGCACTTGGAGCAGTTCTGTCGTCGCGGGCCGCTGTGCGGCTCGCTGCTCAAGCACATACTCGCCGAGCAGCTATTTAATGTGTGGAAACCGACCCTGGTGTGGTCCACAGAAGCCTTTGCGTGAAGTTTTGCTGTCGACAATCTTCTGCTTTTGTTTCCGCCGGTCCCGCACGCACGTTTCGGGAACTCCGACCGACCGCGATGCGGCCCGATTTCCCTCCGTTTCTGCACACGCGATGACTTTTCTTTTAAAAGCGGCATCGTGGTGCACTCAAGTTTTGGGAGTCGGCCCTTCCACGCCGTCGATTCTAATGCACTACTAGATGACGAACTCCTCAGCACACGTACGAAGTGCCGCACATGGCAAACACATAGGCAGAAATGGCCGACGCGCCATGCCGACGCACGTATGGGGCGGCCATTTTGGATTTGCCGATGGCAATAGATTGACCGTAATTTTTTTTTTCGTACTCGATTCTAACGCGCATGCGATTCATGAACTCGCTTAACCGGAAAAAAGGTGCGCGTTAGATTCGAGTAATTACGGTACTTCGCTTTTTCACCATGATCTGGCACTACAAGTGCAATTATGGGTGGCCCAAAGGCCCAAAGCGTGGGGCTGCGTTCTTGTGAAGCAAGCCAGGGGATGTAGTACACAGTGTAACAACACAAAATACCAGCAGCCTTTTACTCGGTGGTCCGCCGGTCTAGCACTGGAAAAAAGAATAGGAAGCGCTCGCCTGTTTTGGCAACCGCGACCAGGCAACCATGTGATGTGGTGAACTAAGCCTTCGCAAAGAGCCGAGCGATAGGGCAAATGATGCTGCGGGAGGCTAGCGGAACCAAAAATTAGCAGTTTTTGAACCGTTTTGATACGTGCAAAACGTAAAAAGGATGTCTGATGGCATCTTTTTTTCTTTTTGTCCAAAAAAATGCTTAGCTATATCTGATGAGGTGGGCTTACTTACTTCGGTAAAACTGGCCTTAAAGGCATTGAAAATGCAGAAATTAGAATAGGAGGTCAATATTACTTAATTATAAATGCTATTTTGTGTTAGTGGGTTCATCATAAATGGGTTACACTGTATAACAAAAACGGCTTACTTTTAAAAAATATCTGCAACCCCTTCAACATCACCTAAATCTAGCAGAGAGCTCATGTGCAATGCTTTTCAAGAAAAACATTTTTAACCACCCCGCAGGGCAACCAATGATGAAATCCATATTAGCATCTGCAGTGCATGTCAAATTTGTCAGACTGCACAAGTTCAATTGTAGATCTGCCTATTTGGCGACCTTGGAATTCGGGAGATTGCTAAAGTGCCAAGGGAAAGTCGGGGAAAAAATTCTGGTGAACGCTTTTACTCTTTCCGAGGGCTGCAGAGATATCCTACACACCTAAACATGATCACCAGTAATTTTTAGATGTCATTGATCATACTAGTCCTCTCAATTGTGTGGCAGATACACACATGAGTAAATGGAACAAAACATCCGGTGTCTCACGAGTAGTACTAACAGTATGTTTTAAATCTTGGTACACCT